AGGAAAGCCACCCACCCAGCTGCGCCCTCTGAGCTCCGTCCAGCTCGCGTGGACTCCTGCCTGCCACGGGCAGGAAACAATTAGCAAGAACAGAACAACACCCCACAGGTGTCTAACGACCACACCCGAGCTTGTGACACGTGGAGGTGTGAGGGGTTGCCGAGCCACTTTGGACCAGACCTGGGGCGGAGCGGGGGAGCAGACAAAGAGGTGACACCTCAAGGTCTGGACGATCACAGCTCTCCGACGCACGATAAGCTACTGGACACACCTGCCCTGCCCCTCACAGAGAGCGTGGAAAAGCCCCCGAGTGGAAGTGGCTAACGGGAGGGACAAGAGAGAGGGGGCTTAACCTTCTTGCGTTTATTAGTTAAAAGCTGCAAACCCACTGCCGGCTTCAAGCGCTGTGAGTAGGGACACCATGCCGGGGGTCAGGGAGAATGACGCCTTCCTCGTTAGTATAGTGGTGAGTATCCCCGCCTGTCACGCGGGAGACCGGGGTTCGATTCCCCGACGGGGAGTCGCTCTTTTTCTACCGCCTCAGAGAAAGGAGTGCCTTTCACTTTACTGTGGTGGTCTCTGTATTTAACAGCCTCTCCACGGCGGTGGGTCTGTTCGATCCCAGTGCTCGGCGAATCCCCAAACAGCGTGCGTGGTGAGAAAAAAAGATGCTTGTTTCCGCCCGGTTTCGAACCGGGGACCTTTCGCGTGTGAGGCGAACGTGATAACCACTACACTACGGAAACGCTGGGCAATGTTCCCCAATGGCCCAGCACTGAGCTTCGCCGGTTCAATCCTGCTGCTTCCAGTGCCCTTATCGGAGTGCGCTGATTGACTCCTGTCATGGACGGAGCAGTGAAAGGCGGCGCCACAGTCTACGGCCCTCTCCTCGCAATCGAAGAGATCGGGCTACTAAAGTGGAGAAAATCTCTTCTCCAGAATGTGCAAATATCATCTCGGAGAGTAAACACCCTATTCTGGAAGGTCAACACTGTCTCCCAGAGTCACCCCTCCCACCTCCTGCAGGTTTCAGAGGTGCAGCGATGATCAGCGCGGCTCACACGCAAGAGGTCCCCGGTGTAAAACAAGCGCCCCCTCTTCTCAGGCGTTTGGCAAGCGTTCGGGTGGTCTTATTGCTGCTCCTTAGTACACGGTGATGCTTTGGAAAGCAGAAGGCAAAAGGGACACCTTCCCATACCGGGAGTCGAACCCGGGCCGCCTGGGTGAAAACCAGGAATCCTAACCGCTAGACCATATGGGAGCGCACGGCCACCCCGTTCCGTGTGTAATGACAGCAAAGTGTAATTCCTGTCTTCACGCCCTGCTTAGTGCGGCGCTAGCCCACTCCGAGCCTGTCACACGATGAGAGCACAGCCATTCGCAGGCCGCAGAGCGCGTCTCGCTAGCTCGCCGTGATCGTATAGTGGTCAGTACTTTGCGTTGTGGCCGCAACAACCCCGGTTCGAATCCGGGTCACGGCAGGACGGGCGCCCCGCTTTTACTGTTTGCAGGAATGAAGGAAAACAAAAACGCTGCGCAGAGAAGCGAACAGTTTCACCCAACTGATCACACAGCTCTTCCGCTCGAAAAGCTACTGGACACACCTGCCACTCAGTTATATTCTTCTAATATCACAATCCTGCACATTAGCACTGAGAGATGAACACAAAAGAATTTCATAGTGTTTGCTAATTCTCGTGTTTTGGTACACTTTGCAAATGTGATTAGTTTACAGATTCTAAGACCCCAAATTACTGGTCTGGTTTAGAAACAAAAGTGTTCAAACCTCTAATTACATCCCCCAGTTTGAGATCTCACGCCTTATCTGTACAACTTATTTTCAATTTATTAACGCATTATTGTTATTTGTTTTCTGTCCCAGCACATGCTTTTCAGTGAAAACTGAAATGTAACTGCAGAAGACGAAATAAACCCGTCATCTTAATGTATTTTTAAAATTGATAGAAAAACAGTGTAAAATCCTGGGCTGAGATTTAAGAGCATTGCTTTACAAATCATTTTACATTTTTAGCGTCATAAAGTCTCTGTCTTTTGCACAGTTCAGCACTGCTCTGTACTCTTTGGTTAGGCTGTTCCTGACCATTCTAGACAGCCTGTGACCTCACACACAACCCCAGGTCTACAGGAACAGCATAAAAACACAGTGGTTTCACAGGACCAGTCTGAAATCTTCTTCTGGGGCGCTCGGAATGAGTGGAAGACAGGAAGCAGACTGTTGTCTTCCTCCCCAGAGTGCTGTGTGCTCTGCTGCTGCAAACCAGCAGGAAGGTGTTTGCCTCTCTGACCAGGCGCCCGGAACGGCGGACTGGAGACGCGTCTCGAGCTGTCGGCTTCACAGCATGTCGGCCAGATCTTCGCGCCCCATGGCGATCATGTGATCGAACAGCTTGTCCAGCGTGGCCTCGCTGATTTTACTCTGGAGCAAAACAGAGTTGTGGAAGTGTGAGCAGCACCTCAAGACACTCCAGCAGCACTTGAGCACAAGAGGTCCTGGGAGATTGAGAGCCCACACTGCCCTGGGCACCGGGCTTACCTTCCAGGAGTTCAGGACCTCTTCCGCAGGGATCTTCGACTTCTGTTTCCACAGCTCTCGGTAGGCAGCCGAGATGCCCACTTTCTCAGCAAGGAGCCTCCAGTCTCGCCCTGGTGAACGAGGTTCAGAGTCAAACATGCACACCATGAGCAGCCAGCTGTAAGTTCTTTACACAAAGGGTGGTGGGAGTATGGAACTAACAAAGGAGTTAGATGGGCCAAATGGCCTCCTCTCGATCTGGACCTGTCCTGTACTGTACGCTGGGGGCTGGATTCACGAGTGTTCAAGTCTGTAGAATGAACAGCACTGTCAGTTGTTCACACTTGTACACGGCTCCTCGGCCTCGTTTTCAACAGAGCTATGAGACTTACAAGTCGCCATGGGAAAGTGAACGTGGGTTTTTGTTGAAAATCATCCTGCTGCTAAACAAGAGGCTGAAAGTGTGATAGCCCTGCGCTTACCGTCCTCCTGCTCAACGCTCAGCGCCACAGTGAAGGAGTGCCACACGGAGAAGGGCAGGTCTCTCACCAGCTGCTCCTTGCGTCTCGGCCCTGGAGGAGGGAGAAGAAAGCCCAGTGGGCAAGGCTGACGCTACGAGTGCTACGAAGCGTGAACGAGAGGGGGGGAGGGGCGTCTGTGCCGCTCTAGGTGCTGCAGATACTGACCCGTCCAGGATCTACCGTCCAGTCAGTGTGCAAGGAAGGGCACAAAACACTCAAGTGTCCCTCCTGTCTGCTTAAGGGTCCAGCAGTGCTTCTCATCAGCGATGAGTAACTCACGGCAGGAGAGCACTGGCTCATGTGGGCTCACCCAGGGCAGGCAGCAGGTTCCGCTGGGAGTGCATGGCAGAGATCACGTCGTCCCGATTCAGGGTCTTCAAGGCTCTGCAGAGCTGGCGCAGAGCAGCAGGGCCCCCAGTGGCAGACAGGAGCTCCCTCACACTCACAGCACCGCTCTGCGTGAAAGAGAGCACTGTGACCCAAGTAGGCGCCCTCAGCCCGACCTGTGAACTGTTCTAGCCGGCATGCTCCCATGTCGGGTCTCTGGAGGAACATGACGGCGAGCTCCAGCCTGCCGTTTCTCACTGAATGTGCACCATGCCTGCAGCCTCTGGCTGCCCGACTGCTGGTACTAATATCCTGCGTGTCTCTTGGTTGCTGTGAAGTTCCCCGTGTGAAGATATTTTAATGCAAGTACAAGATCAATAAGCCAATTTTTTAGGGGTGCAGCTACACAATAAATGCCAGAATAAAGACCTTTGCACTCTGCCCCACCGCCGCACAGATAAACCATGAGTGTTACAAAACATTACTTCTAAAAACTTAACGAAACAGGTCCCAGCTACAACTGTGCTGTGTTGCTGCTGGTGCTGCCAGCAGGTCAGCTGAGACGTGTTCCTCTCTCTCCCCCCTGTGCTCCCCCCTGCAATCCCAGTCTGGGCTGCGCTGACACTGCTGGGAGAGGAGTGCAGGAGCAGAGCCGTCCCACCTCAGGTCCTGGGGGGCGAGGGGGGTCCCCCAGCAGCCTGCTGATCGCCTGCACCTCCTGAGCGCTGAACGGCTTCAGCCTGTCAAAGGCCTGCAGTGCTCCTGCCTCCCACAGACAGACACCTGCGGGACAAGAGCTCGGCTTCAGCGGGCAGCCAGCTGGACGCCTGGTCTCGCCAGCAGCCGGAAGCACCGCGCTCGGCAAGCGTGTGGGGTCACCCGGGGGGTCACCCTACAAGCGGCCCTGACGCTCTCAGACAGACCCCTGCGCCCCCGTCGCCTCTCTGCTCTTCCTCTGGGACATGAGCCCGCAGCCTGGCAGCAGAAGGGTTCGGAGGGGCTGCCAGGCCCAGGCAGGCCTCAATCTCCCCTTGAGAGAACCAGGGAGGGGGGTGAATGTGTCTGCAGTGTGTCTGCAGTGTGTCTGCAGTGTGTCTCGGACACAGTGAATGCCTGACTCCGCTTTCATTTCTGGATGCCGCTCTCACTGGCTGCAGAGGGAAAAAATAAACAGGTACCTGATCCTTTGCAGCCTACGCTTCAGCATGCGTAGGCTGCAAAGGATCAGGTACCTGTTTATTTTTTAATAAACAGGTACCTGCTTGAGGTTAAAAATAAGCTATAGGCATATACAAATACAAATAACAGTGTCACAAGTTAGGATGACTTCATATGAATCTTCTACGGAATCAGAAAGACGAACCAGTTTACACAAAAGCAAACGCAGAAAGTGTATTTCAATCAGAGAACGGGAGGGACTTGTTTACGCCGAGAGTGGTCGGAGTATGGAACAATGCGCCCAGGCCTGTTGCTGGAGTTGATATCCCGGCTTCTTGATGAGGCTCACTAGGAAGCCCCCAGGGGATTGTAATCTTTCTGTTGTTCTTGCAGGTCCTGCGCTGCTTTTGTGTTGACAAAGCTCTTCTGTCTGCACCAGGGAATAGAATCCAGCCTACCTCCGCTGCCAGGCGGGGTCCCGTGGCCCGGAGGCGCCGCGTCTCGCCCCCGCGGCGGCAGCTGCGTGCTGCAGAACTCAGTCTCGTCGCTCTCCTCGGGCGCGCTCCTCCCCGCCCCGCCAGCCCACCCGCTCTCGGGCTCCGGCCGCCGCGCGCTGCAGAAGGTCTCGACCGTGTGGCTGCGGAGCTCCTGGACTCTCACTGGGAAGAGCAGAAACAGCAGAGCTCCAGGCGCGGCCCAGCTGATGCCGCCATTTCAGCTGAGCGCCTTCCCAGATCCAATAACACCTCCTCACACTTACACGGCTTTTCTGGACCCTCCACTTATAAACAGGTCATGGGGATCCCCTCCTCCACCACCAGTGTGTACCCCCACTGGATGATGCACCAGTCCGCTCCCCACACACCAGCTCTCAGTGGGGAGGAGAGCAGAGTGATGAAGCCAGTTCAGAGAGGGGGATTATCAGGAGGCCATGATGGGTAAAGGCCAGTGGGAAATTTAGCCAGGACGGGGGAGTAACACCCCTACTCTTTTCAAGAAACGCCCTGGGATTTTTAATGACCACAGAGTCAGGCCCTTGGTTTTACTGTACATCTCCTCTGGGCCTTTTCACAGTACAGTGTCCCCATCACTATACTGAGCATTAGGACCCCCACAGGGTGAGGGCCCCCTACTAGCACCAGTAACACCTCTTCCAGCAGCAGCCTTAGTTTTTCCCAGGAGGTCTCCCCTCCAGGTACTGGCCAGGCTCACACTGCTGAGCTCCAGTGGGCTGCCAGCTGGGAGCTGTGAGCTACACATTCTTTCACGACACCAAGATCAAAACACTGGGATCCTTCCTGGGATCTATTGCTTACGAACTACACAACAGGCTGGATGGGATGCATGTCCTTCTGCAATCTGAAACTGCTCCTGTCAGTGCCTTTAGGGATAATGAGTATTTGTCTCAGGTCCCTCCTAGTCCGCCTAACGTGTTTTGCTCTGTTCATTTTTTTACAAATAGGATAAAAACTTTAGAAAATTAACAAAATGAAGACAGAAAGAAAGGTGACACAGACAAACACAGAGGCTTTGAGGAATTTCGGGTATTGTTATCTTCTCAACACACAGTGCACATTAGCTCCTTGAAAATCTATCCTGTAATTAATTAGGTATTAATTACTTCAAGGTTTGTTCAGAAGGAGCCAAAGCCCTTCATTTGCAGGTCGTGTCTTAGGAGCTTGATTACTCAGTCGAAGGCGGAACAGAAGAGCTGTCCGTAGCCTACAGTACAGGAAGAGCAGCCCGTAGACTTTAATGGAACGGAATGAAAAAAAATCTCAAAGACTGCAAACTAGCTGAAATCTTAACACATAAGTAGAACATGAAGGTCGAATGACAGCTCTTTTCTTGTGAATTAAAGGGCAAGGTGTGTGAAAAACACTTTCACTCCTGCTCGATTATGATCTATGGGTTTGTCATTGACATTCATCTCAGCCCCGCACTGACCCTCCGCTTCGCTCACGTTAAACTGCCGCAGAAAACCAGCGCTCAGCTCTGTGCTACTGCCGTGCAGATCTGCGCTTGTGGATCTTACTTCCGCCGAGGAAATCGCCGGCCTGTCGCTCGTACTCCCGGCAGAGCTGCACCAGGCTGTGCAGGGACAGCGACTCGAGCTGGTCCTTGATCGAGCCCAGACTGGTCAGAGAAACGCGCCCCGCCTCCAGTAGGATCACCAGCAGCTGACCCGCGTCCCGCGCCGCCTGCAGCTCGTGCCCGGCCACCTGTCCTGACCACTGCGTTTTGAGCCGCCGGAGCTGACCGCTGTCCACCTGCCGGGAGATCTCCGCCGCCAGCCGCTCGAATCTCAGCCGGAGCTGCTGCTGACCCGTCTCGCACATCACTCGGGCAAACCAGGAGACCGCGCCCGCGGGAGCTTACAGTAAACCCAGAGCTCAAGAAGTGAGAACCGAAAGTAAAACTGCTTCTCTGTACGAGGCGGAAGAGAGACTGGCCTCTCCGCTCCCACAGAGCGGGGCTTGTGAGTCTCTGTAGTTTTAAAAACCGGGAGTCACTTAAGGAGCGAAGCCCAGCTGATCACATCGCTGTGTTGAAAGTGGTAGAAGCTCAGACAGATATCGGGACAAAACTGTACTAAAACAGTCTTTACATTTTGAGTTTCAAATCTAACCTATACTGGTTTAGGAATGAGAAGCCACTAGTACTTCCTCCACAGAATTGTTAGTGGTAAGTAAAGGACAATCTTCTAAAAGCGTTCACATCATCAAAAATCCTGCTAAATTATCTGGACATCACGTTGGCTGCACAGTATAAATTGTAAAAGCAAGGGATGTGCTTTTACTCGGGCTCCGCTGTCTTGTGCAAAGATAACTGAAGCTGTAAAAACACAGAGAAACCGATATAAACACAGACAGCAGGTCTGGATTGACCTGCAACGTTGTATAAAGAAAGACTCTGTTACTGACATTACTGTTAAAGAAATACACGTTATTGTTAGATTTTAATCCAATTGACAATAATATGAAAATATCAGTTGTTATCTACTTGATCATTATACTCGCACGGTATTATGCACTTTAAGTGAAATAGCCTGGGACGAGAACCATGTTTGAACAGTAAAATAAACCTAAAGGCGTGTCTACGGACTATGCAGGAACACGAAAGCTGTGTGGACCTCATCTTTATTTACCTATTCATCTTTTTTTTAATAAAGTGCAGGTGTATTACATATGTCCCACTGAAGATGTTATTGATGTGTCCTATGTACTCTTCTTTGTATTGTATGTATTTTTGCTGATGCAA